GAGTGGACAGGGAAGTAACCACGATGAGCTAGCATACACTGTAAGGAGAGTATATATTAATACTCCTAATACTCCCGCTTAAAAAAGTTTGGTGATTGGCTGCATGAAGATGTGATTACTTCAGTTTTCGTTTCATCTCTAACAACAACCTACACCGACTCTCAATGGCTTACCTGGTTTAGATCTATCATAAAGGTTGACAAACCCACAGATACGGTTTCTCTTGTGTGTATCCGTGTAAAAATTCTGTCCGTCAGGCCAATAGTAGCAGACTCGGCAGGCACAAAACTGCCAATATGCGCCAAAAATACGATCAAGCCGACCTGTAAGGACAAGAGTATTTATCGTAAGAGCAGTTATTATATGACTTCACAGAAGGTCGAGCAAGAAACGAGGAAAAAGGACAAGGAAAGCGAAGCGCGAAAGAAAGACGAATCTCGTTTTAAGCTTGCGGAAGCATTTTTTTTAGATGGTAGTCTCTCTCGCTGAAAGTGAATTCATTCCGCGAGGCAACACGCGTGTTAGTAAGGGTATCAATAAAAGTGCAGATAACTTAAGATGTGCCTTTACCTGTTTAAGATAGACACTTTTACCACTGGCATTAGGTCCAGTCAAAATTTTCATGCGCCCTCTATCTTTGTCAAATACTGTGTCATTTGGAACAAACAGGCTGACACAGAGCTCCTGCAAAGGGTGCCTGAGGAAAATAAAACAAATAGAACATTAGCTTCACTCAGTTTTCAAAGACTCCAGTGCAGTGAACTACAGTAAAATCCTAACCGGGAGGGTGTTTTCAAGGGTAAAAAAGGCAGGGAGATCTAAAAGATATTAGAGTGCTCACCAAAGTGGAGATTTTACTATTCTGGGAGGAGAGGATCATAAACCGCTAGCTCCAGAACTTTTCGATGCTGAGACCTTACATGAGCTATATAGGTATGTGCAGCCGCAGAGGGTATTGTCTTTTGGTCGTATTGGTCAGAAATAGGGTGTCGATTTTGGCCATTTTGGTCTCATATAGGGTGTGGTTTTTGCCCTTTAGTCTTGAATTGGGCATGCTTGTTGGAAGAAGCTACTTTCAATTATAAAGTAGGTGTGAAAAAGGGTATTCATTTAAGGGTCAGGTCTTAAATTAAGTATCGAATGTTTGGTCAAGTCATAAAATGGGTAGGAAAAAATCGCAAGGGTAATAAGGGTAATGGTCTCGAAAAGCAGGCCGCACACCTCCGCCCATTTTTTTCTCGAACCCTTCCCCTCCCCCGCCCCTTCGGGGAGCTGTGTCATACGCTATAAGAGCTATTTTGGGCACTTTGCAGTAAGGTTTAGGCAAACACCATATGGATATTTACTACGTACTTTTGCAATGTCAAATCGCGGTCACACATTTATACTTTCTCGTCTGTCTTCGTTTTCTTCTGATTTTTAACCATATCAGTGTTGTCTTACCTTCCTTGTTCAATATTTAACACCGAGTCTGCAGTCAACTGAGGACAAACATAGTTGTTCTCTCTAGCACACAGGGCCAACGAAATCAAACTAAAAGCAAAAAGAACAAAAAGAAGTTGCGTTTAGCAAGCCAAAGGAAACTTGTGGATAATACTGAGAGGTTTAAATTTTGCTAAAGAATGACTGTCGAAATTTTAAATGCCAAAAATGGAGGCTACAAGGGTCCACTGATTTCACTTAAATAAAAAATAAAATAAATGACATTATTTGGGGAGGAAGTCGCATTAGCCTTAGCTGGTGTTCGTGCGGGTCGTCTATGCTGGTCAAATTGGAATTTGGAGATGTTGGTTTTTCAGGAGGGAGGAAAACCGGAGAACCCGGAGAAAAACCCTCGGAGCAAGGCGAAAACCAACAACAAACTCAATCCACTGAAATATGACGTCAGGGGCCCGTTTCTCGAAAGCCCCGGAAACTTTTCGGGCCCGTAAAGCCATTTTTAGTTCATCTGTGTCAAAAAACGGAGAAGTGTATACGCCTGAAACTTCTTGTATGAAGGGAACCTCTGTTCACATTAAGGATATGTGGATAAAACAGCTCCGTAATCATAAGGTTTGAGATTTTGCTATGATTTTCCGGGTGCGAAAACTTTGCGGGACCTTCGAGAAACGGACCCCAGGCCGGAATCGAGCCCGGGCCACATTGGTGGGAGGCGGGGACTCTCACAACTGCACCATCCTTGCTCCGCTTAAGAACTTACCAGTCCAACTCTGCACAGCACTCCATTACATCGATCAACACCTTGGTGTGTTCCAGAATGACAGTCTGTAGGCGATGCATAATAGCAGTCTCATGATCTGTAGAAAGAAACAACAAACATTTTATTGAATATCAACAAATTCCAGTAACTCACGATGATAAAAAAAAAAAAACAAACAAACAAATCTACTTGATTAAATTATTAAAGTAAGGAACTTGTACTGCAAAAAGAGTCCACGTTTTACATTTTTCTATACAAGAGTTTCCTAGGTGACGTAATGGTCTAGAACTGACTCACCTGTTATTTCGCACTGTGTGTCCCCCAAAAGGTTATCAAGCTCTAAAACAAGATACAAAAGGAGGTATTTGGAAATGCATTGAATCCAGACGGCTTAACAAAGAAAAGGCCTCATGAGCACGCATGGTTTGCCACCAAAACACGGCACTATGATAAAGACTACAAGTCGGACTTTCTCGGTAATTACAAATGTATTATTAAACAATAGCCTCAATTTGGCGCGAAAACATGCTTAGATATTTGTCCGCGGACATTACTTGTTCCGAGAAGATTTTTTCTAACACACAGGATCTTTTGAAAATTGGAAAATATCACTCGGATATTCCCCAGTTTTAGTTGAAGTATATTCAGTACGTTGACGCATTTAGACTAATCGCTAGCGGGCGAAAATTTTTACGGATTGTAAGTCTCGTTAACATACCTCTGGTGCGAGCACTCTTGTAGTGAACCCTGTTATTGCTAAGAAACTAGGAGAAAAAAGTTGGCTACTTTAAGTTAACTTCTCATTGTTTTTGATTGATAAAAGGAGGTAACTATACCAACATGAGCTCAAAAATTTTAATAAAGAGCTTATAATTACCACAAACTCCAGGCCATCTATCGCAAAATCCCCTTCTTCCTTCATCTCCAGAGATCGAGGAATCGCTAACAAGTAGCCCAGCTGTGAGACAAATACCAAAGGTGAAAACTCAAAAACTTTGCAACCCCAAAAGCAAGTTAAAAGGACAAACATCAATTGAAAATTACCTGTGGTAGGTAAATAACATTACATTCTGTAATGGAAGAACTAAGTTTGTTAAGCTCCTCTCGGGCTACTTTTGTCATGAAGTCAGGAAGGCCATTGTATGTTCTTTTCTCTGTATAGATTTAAGATACAATAACAGAGGTTTAGTAAATGTACTGTTACAGAGGTTGCACGGCTGACTGATGATAGCGTTTCTCAACATGCAATAATAATCATAACATCCGTCAAATTTCACATGTCCAGCAAACCAGCCAAAACCTGCAAACTTGGTCATCATAAGTTTAAAAATTATGAGAAGGTCAACAACTTGTTACAACTGAGATCATGCTTACTTTCATCCAAAGCACGATCAACTCCAGGTTTAACAACAAACCGATTTTGTTCCGTTGATTCATCAAAGTCGATCTAAGAAAAAAAGTCCTACTTTAGAAGGAAGTACAAATAGACTATTATTGCTAGATGCAAAAAAAAAATATTAGATAATGAGTCAAGACTGGCCTTACTATTTTACTCATAAGACTCCCAATTTCAAGCAATTCATCTGTAAATCGTGTAGCAACCTGTCAGAAAAAAAAAAAAAAAAAAAACAGTTTATAAGCAGTGCTCGTAAAAAGTAAACTAAGACTTGCCCAGGGCAAACAAAATTTGGGACCTGCTTGTCCAAAGGGCAAGCTGGAATCAAAGTTTTTTTTTTTTTCTAGTCCTAATAAGCAATACAAAGTAATTACGCTAAGCCAAGCAAGCCTTCTTGTGGAACCTACAGGGTAACAGATAGAGAGGGAGACTGCGTAACAGCCAGAGGAGAGATGCAGAATGCGCTGTCCAGTCAAAAGGCTACTCCCGGATGCAGAATGCAGATGAAATGCCAAGCCAAGGACAGAAGGGATTGGAGGGTTTTGTCGGTGCCCTATGCTACAAAATGGAGTAAAAAAGCTTCAGCTCAGACAAAGTAAGTGGGATTTTTTCTACCTGTTTGCCTCTGCAATGATCACATAATATTAGATACTCCAGCAAAGAATCAAAGTTATTACCTTTTTGGCAATTTCAATATCCATTGGAATTCTTCTGCACAGGTCAGCAATGTAGGTTGCATTATAGGCTGTCTGTGTAGCAAGCAATTTAATGAAAAAAGTCTTGGAAAGATAACAGCACTTTGTCTCTTATACATGTATTAGACTTTATTGCACCTCTTAGTAACACAGCTCCATACGCTGTGATTGGTCAACTTAGTGGGCCATATTCTACTGTATAGGCCTGTAAAATTTGAAACTGCAACCAAACCAGTCAAACACAAATAGAGATGTGATAAATACTTTTCTCATTTTCTCAGTCGATAATGTAAGTCATGGATCCTCATTTTTTTTTCCCTTTCAATTTATGGCCTGTGCACGAAGCTCTTGGACCATACATATAGACTGAAAGGGAAAAACCTCTGGCGGTCTGTAACTGACAGTACAGACCGAGAAGACAAGCTTAGTACAAGGTATTAACACATTCAAGTATTGATATGGAAATCACATACAAATTTATACAGTAAACATAACAAAATTCTCAAAATCTGTGTGGTTAGAAATCTTTGTAGAAATCCCTGCCCTACAGTACACTGGTGGATGCTAGTGAGGGCATGTTTTGTAATACCTTATACAGTGCTTGCCAGTCACCAACAGATGCTTGAGCTGTTGTCATTCTTGAAAGTATTCCCTGCATGAGACAAAAAATATTTTGAATTTCTTCAAAGTACAGTTAAAACTTCCATGAACAGACATCACCCATGGGCAAACACCTCCAATAAGTTGACACTTGGTCATATGCATGCTCCCTGCAGCCACATACTAAATTTTTAACTTGCCTTAAAGCCTGGTTCACACTTGTAAGATAAGCATAAGCAGTAGCACAAGGACGTTCACACTAGCGACATATGTATGAGCAGTTATTGAGAGATTTGGAGATTTGGAGATTTGGAACAGTACCATTCTGATTGACTGAATTCTTGCTCTTATGCTTGTCTGTATTTCAGGCCAGTTCTCACTTCTGAAAAAAGCATAACACTCATGAAATACATGCAAGCATAAGCATAAGTTCAAGAAAAGGAAAATGTTTCTTTCTCCTGTGCTTATGGTTGTACTAATGCTTGTGCTAATCTCACAAGTGTGACCATACCAGACTAAAGTCAACACCTATCTTTGGTGGGCAATTTACTTCAATTCCAGCTGAGTTGAATTTTCTCAGAAACTAACAATACCTTCTGTTGCCCATAAAGCAAGCAAAGGATAAGATCTGCAAGCCACTAGCCTGAAAAAATCTACGATTCCCACATTGGGCATGACTTTCCTTGCATCCTGAAGATTCTAGCTCTTCTCATTACTGTGAGTCATACCCATACTTACAGAGACATTCTTGATATGCTTCAAGCAATCTTGTAAAGACGCCACAAGTTCTGAATTCCTGAGGTTCATAAAATAAGACACGGCCTTTTGCCTTTGTTGTAAAAGGCTGATGTCTCTTGAAGGACGTAAAAACCACATCCTAGTTTCAAAGATTAATAAAATGTAATTCATTAATTTGTTTTCTGTTTCTGTCAAGTTTTTGTATATATCTATGAGCATTCCATCACAAATACCTTTCTCTTATTGGCAATGCTAATCACTATCTATATTCTGTTGAATATGGTAAGTAGTCTAGCAGTGTAGAGTGACGTTAACAAAAGGGTGGCCATTTCTTTGCATTTTCAAAGTGTCTGTGAAGAGGATTTAGGTAAAGTTTTGAGCGACTACTAGATTTCTACTGAAACAAATTGGATTATTCACTCGATTTCTATATGCATGATAGTTGATTCAGGCTGCCCCTTCATCAATTATCATGCAAATGAAATCTTGAGGTCACAATCTAATCTTGCCAGTACATTAATCTTTGTAAGTAGAAACACCACTCATGAAGTTTTGGAAGAACTTGAAGTTGTTCAAACTTGTCTGTGTGCTTCCAGCAAACAGGGGTTTCGTTAATGTTTTCAGCAAGAGGACAACTGGTTTTCACAGGCAGACAAAACTATTTGAACTGAACTTCTTTATTACAAAAACTTTTAGCCAGTTGATCAAACCAGATGGGCAAAATCATCAGTCAATTTGCCTGGTACCCAGTCCTTAATGAAACCCCTGATCATATATTTCTCACTCTCCCAAACTTCCACTGGTGTTAAAAAACTCAGCGGAAACTGAAAATGTTATATCAGTGAAGCCTGGAAGGACTGTTTTCTTAAAGAACAAACCTCAACATATGACTTCCAATAACAGATCTAGTTCTATTTGTGATGCCTACAGAAAAGGAAAGAATTATGGTTAATACATGTAAGTCTTTCAGTTCCAGTCACAATAGTAATAACAATAATACTGCTATATAATAATAACTATTATATAACAATTATTACAAGTTAAATTGTCCACTTTAAACAGAGGACACAAGTAGAAATCTAGCAGGAACCCTGAGTCACAGTTGCTTGTCCCCTTACTGCAGACAAAATGGCTTTTCAGATCTTTCGTTTTGCCCCTAGCAATGGTCCCACAAGCATCTGTAACTTCTAGCCTCCAACAAAGTTTTACTTTGAGTCAATACATTGATTACCAAAAAGAGAGAGTCCTTCCTTAGCACCACTGTTTCCAGCTCCCATCTTGTACACAGATGGGTGACTTTCCTTTTGAAAGATCTGCAAAGCACTTTTGTGCACAGCAAAACAGCATACATAAGCATGGCCTCCATGGTAAAACAAATTTAACATGCACATGGTCTAAAGATAAAAGTTTGCAAATCTGTAAATCTGACCAGGCAGCTATCGATAATTATTTTGGTGGTAAACATTATGCTTTCATATACTATCTAGACGTTCCAAAACTTATTCCCAAATGATATGATATTTAGATCACATCTGGGATATTCCAAACTCCCTCTTTGTATTATTTATACTAAAGGTCTCTGCTTCCAGCCTATTTTCTGCATTTTCTACCATTTATTATATCACATCTTTGTTATAGCTTAATTAGAAGTGCTGAATAAAGTTGCAGATTTGGCCAGGTAGCCAAAACCTATGTGAGGATTTCTCACAAGTACTTTATTCATATACCTGTAAGTGTTGTTATCCACAATGAGAAGATCACTCCTACAATAAGAATTACACCGAGAAATTAACATTAAAAACCTCACAAGTGTACATAATAGTTATTAGTGATACAATTATAATTTCACTTGCTACTATTCAAATGATTTATTCATAACTTGACATACATGTACCTGACTATAGTGCTGAAACCTGTTTAGGACTTTTCTTAAAATGTCATTGATATTCTGAGCTGAAACCTGTTTGTTAAAATGCTCAGTGAAGTACAGTAAAAACCCCTAATTACGGACACAAATTGGTGACAGTTCTAACCAGGTTCTTTAAAATCAACCACTAAAGTCTGGGAGTATTACTGTGTATGTTAGTTTTCTTTAGTCTGTTCATTTGAATTTTTCATACAAACAGGCTTTAGAATGGCCATATTAGGGAGTTTATTGGCCTTTTTAAAACTTGATAATTGTCATAATAATTTCTTTCTTTAGCTACTGGGATGGTCAACACCTGGCTAGGGTTCATAAATTATATGAAGAATAAATTATAGTTATTCTAGAGCATCTCAACGGAGCACAAAACTAATGTTGAGATGGTGACTCCTAATGACGATGGGGGCACATTATGTTAACCAGAGGGGAGGGTTGCACTGCCATCTTCACAATACTCTACATACTTACAAAGAGAATACTTTAAGCCCCAAAATGGGAACTCGCACATCTGGATCTTCCATTTCAACTCCAATTCTCTTTTTATCTATGTACTTGATCAGTGCACCAGCACTTCGTACCTGTGTGAAGTACAAAAGGTTTACATCCCATACACTTGAAAGTTATTATTATCTTCCAGTTATCATTCTGTTTCTGGTTAAATATCAAAGTGAAAAGAAAAAACCTTGCAATGAGTAAGGTACATGCAAAATAGAGTGGGAAAGGGAGGGGGGAAGAGGGGGGTCTGGCAGGTTAGTATGGGGTAGGGTAGGGTAGGGTAGGGTAGAGTAGGTAGGGTAGGGTAGGGTAGGGTAGGGTAGGGTAGGGCAGGG